ATGCGTCTGTAGTCCCTGCTACTCAGGAGGCTTAGGCAGGAGAATCACTTGAACCCAGGAGGCAGAGGTTGCAGTTAGCCAAGATCATACCACTGCACTCCAGCCTGGGTGTCAGAGCAAGACTCCGTCAAAAAAAAAAAAAAAAAAAAAAAAAAGCTAAGTCAGGCTTTGTCCTATTTGTCCTCAGAACTCTGTAGTGGCTTTCCACATCATTAGTTGTAAAAGCCAAATCCCTATCACACATATCAAGGTCTATAATGATTTGAGTCCCCTTGCCTTCCCTTGCGCCTCTTTGAACTCTGCTGTTCTCCTTGCTTCCTCCCTTTCAGCCACATGGACTTCGTTGCTGTTCTTTGAACACACTAGGCCTTATCCTACATTTGCTGAAATATTCTTTCCTACTTCTGTCCAAGTCTTTACTCAGAATTTGCTATCTCAGAAAGGAGTTTCCTGATTGTCCTATGTAATCCTCTTTCCCAATTTATTATTTTTCTTTAACACCTATCAATATCTAATATACCATATATTTTAACTTACATTGCTTATTGTTTTGCCTAGAATTTAAGCTGGGTGGTATGTTTTTTTTTTTTTTTTTTGGTCCAGCATTGTACCCACAACATCTATATCAATGCATTCAATATTTATGGAAGAAATGGATCATATAGAACCCATTCATTAAAATAAAATAATCAGCTAATTCATGGCAATAGGCTAAAAAATTTATTTCATAGGAAATGTGTAGTAGCTGTTGTACTTTTGCTTAAAATTTAAAAAACAGTAGGATTTAAGAAAATGAGCACTCATACATGGCTGGTTGGTGCTTAACTTGGTCAACTACCCTGGAGGACTATGTAACAAAATTTTTTTTTTTTGACAGAGTCTCACTCTTTTGCTCAGTCTGGAGTGCAGTGGCACAGTCTCAGTTCACTGCAAGCTCCGCCTCCCAGGCTCAAGCAATTATCCTGGCCTCAGCCTCCCAAGTAGCTGGGATTACAGGCACACACCATCATGCTCAGCTAAGTTTTGTTTGTTTTTAGACTTTTACCATGTTGTCCCAGTTGGTTTTGAACTTCTGGGCTCACGCAATCCACCCAGCTCAGCCTCCTAAAGTGCTGGAATTACAGACATGAGCCACTGTGCTGGCTTATATAACAGTCTTTAAAAGCCTATAAAAATGAACAAATCTTAGATATTCTGTTTCTTGGAACTTATCCTAATAAAAAGAATAACTACAAAAGTCTAGATACAAGCATGTTTCTTTCAGAATATTTCATAATAGTAAAAAACTCAACTCAGTAAACCTATAAACATGAGTGATTAGGTAAACTATGGTAAAGTTAAAAAATGGAATACTGTGTGGCTATTAAAAAGTTATATTGTACGTTAGTCACAGAAAGGTATTTATTATATATTACATAAAGCAGGTTACAAAACAGACATTTGTTATCACTTTCCACTGACTCTCTTTTAAAGTATAAATGCATGTTTTTAAAAAACTGACAGTCGAGGCAGCAATTAAGAGCCTACCACACAAAAAAAGCCCAGGTCCAGACAGGTTCACAGCCAAATTCTACCAGACATACAAAGAGGAGCTGGTACCATTTCTTCTGAAACTATTCCAATTAAGAGGGAATAAAAAGGTATCCAAAAAGAGGGAATCCTTCCCAAATCATTTTATGAGCCCAATATCATCCTGATACCAAAACCTGGCAGAGACCCAACAAGAAAAGAAAACTTCAGGCCAATATCCATGATGAACATAGATGCAAAAATCTTCAATAAAATATTGGCAAGCTGATTGCAACAGCAAATCAAAAAACTTATTCATCATGATCAAGTAGGATTCATCCCAGGGATGCAAGGCTGGTTCAACATATGCAAGTCTATCAACGTAATTCACCACATAAACAGAACCAAAAACAAAAACCACATGATTATCTCAATTGACGCAGAGAAGGCATTTGACAAAATTCAACAGCCCTTTATGCTAAAAACCCTCAATAAACTCGGTATCGATGGAACGTATCTCAAAGTAATAAAAGCTATTTACGACAAACCAACAGCCAATATCATACTGAATGGGCAAAAACTGGAAGCATTCCCTTTGAAATCTGGCACTAGACAAGGATGTCCTCTTTCACCACTCCTATTCAATATAGTACTGGAAGTTCTAGCCAGAGCAATCAGGCAAGAAAAAGAAATAAAGGGTATTCAAATAGGAAAGGTGGAAGCCAAATTGTCTCTATTTGCAGACGACATGATAGTATACCTAGAAGACCCCATCGCCTCAGCCCAAAAACTCCTGAAACTGATAAGCAACTTCAGCAAAGTCTCAGGATATAAAATCAATGTGCAAAAATCACAAACATTCCTCTACACCAATAACAAACTTAAAGAAAGCCAAATCAAGAACGAACTGCCATTCACAATTGCTACAAAAAAATAAAATACCTAGGAATACAACTCACAAGGAACGTAAGGGACCTCTTCAAGGAAAACTACAAACCACTGCTCAGCGAAATCAGGACCCAAACAGATGGAGAAACATTCCATGTTCATGGTTAGGAAGAATTAATATCGTGAAAATGGCTATACTGCCCAAAGTAATTTACAGAATCAACGCTAATCCCCATCAAGCTACCATTGACTTTCTTCACAGAACTGGAAAAAACCACCATGAACTTCATATGGAACCAAAAGAGAGCCCACATAGCCAAGTCAATTCTAAGCAAAAAGAACACAGCGGGGGCATCACACTACCGGATTTCAAACTATACTACAAGGCTATAGTAATCAAATCAGCATGGTACTGGTACCAAAACAGAGATATAGACCAATGGAACAAAACAGAGGCATCGGAGGCAACAGAACATATCTACAACCATACAATCTTTGATAAACCTGACAAAAACAAGCAATGGGGAAAGGATTCCCTGTTTAACAAATGGTGTTGGGAAAACTGGCTAGCCATGTGCAGAAAGCAGAAACTGGACCCTTCCTGACACCTTACACTAAAATTAACTCCAGATGGATTAAAGACTTAAACATAAGACCTGGCACCATAAAAACCCTAGAAGGAAATCTAGGCAAAACCATCCAGGACATGGGAGTAGGCAAGGACTTCATGACCAAAACACCAAAAGCATTGGCAACAAAAGCCAAAATAGACAAATGGGACCTAATCAAACTCCACAGCTTCTGCATGGCAAAAGAAACAGTCACTAGAGTGAATTGGCAACCAACAGAATGGGAAAAAATTTTAGCAGTTTACCCATCTGACAAAGGGCTGATAGCCAGAATTTACAGAGAACTCAAACAGATTTACAGGAAAAAAACAAGCCCATTCAAAATTGGGCAAAGGATATGAACAGACACTTTACGAAGGAAGACATATATGAGGCCAACAATCATATGAAAAAATGCTCATCGTCACTGGTCATCAGAGAGATGCAAATCAAAACCACATTGAGATACCATCTCACGCCAGTTAGAATGGCGATCATTAAAAAATCTGGAGACAACAGATGCTGGAGAGGATGTGGAGAAAAAGGAACACTTTTACACTGTTGGTGGGAGTGTAAATTAGTTCAACCATTGTGGAAGACAGTGTGGCGATTCCTCAAGGCCTTAGAAATAGAAATTCCATTTGACCCAGCAATCCCATTACTGGCTATATATCCAAAGGACTATAAATCGTTCTACTATAAGGACACATGCACACGAATGTTCATTGCAGCACTGTTTACAATAGCAAAGACCTGGAATCAACCCAAATGCCCATTGATGATAGACTGGATTGGGAAATGTGGCACATATACACCATGGAATATTATGCAGCAATCGGAAATGATGAATTTGTGTCGTTTGTAGGGACATGGATGAATCTGGAGAGCATCATTCTCAGCAAACTGACACAAGAACAGAAAATGAAACACCACATATTCTCACTCATAGGCGGGTGATGAAAAATGAGAACACATGGACACAGGGAGGGGAGTACTAAACACTGGGGTCTATTGGGGGGAAAAGGGGAGAGCCAGTGGGAGGGGGAGGTGGGAAGGGATAGCCTGGGGTGAAATGCCAAATGTGGGTGAAGTGGAGAAAGGAAGCAAAACACACTGCCATGTGTGTACCTATGCAACTGTCTTGCATGTTCTGCACATGTACCCCAAAACCTAAAATGCAATAAAAAATTTAAAAACAAAACAAAACAAAAAAAACCTGACAGAGTGAGGCATGGTGGCTTACACCTGTAATCTCAGCACTTTGGGAGGGCAAGGCTAGAGGGTCTCTTGAGCCCAGGAGTTCAAGGTCAGCTTGGGTAACATAGTTGGGCCCTGTTTCTACCAAAAATGTTAAAAATTAGCCAGGTGTGGTGGCATGCTCCTATAGACCCCAGCTACTTAGGAGGCTGAGGCAGCAGGAGGATTGCTAGAGCTTAGGAGGTTGAGAGTGTAGTGAGCTGTGATCATGCCAGTGCACTCCAGCCTGAGTAAACAGTGTGACCCTGTCTTAAAAATAAACAAGCAAAAACTGGTAGTACCAATGTGTTAATGACTATTGTCTGTGGATTGTGAGATTATTTGTTTATTTAAAACAGTTGTTATGCTTGTTTTTTAAAAACTTTTCCTCAATAAAGAGCAATATGAAACAACAAACTCTCCTAGATTGCTCTTTCTATCTCTCTTGGTTTATTTTTGTCTTAGTGGTTATCACTCTCTAACATGCATGCATTTTACTTATATTTGTTGGTCTATCACCACCCCCACTAGAAAGTAAGTTTCTTAAGGGCAGAGACTTTGTTTTGTTCACTGCTATACTCCAGGAGTCTAGGAAAGTATCTAGTATATAGTAGGTGTGATAAATATGTGTTGAATAAATCAATAATCGTATATAGAAGATAAATGCCACATGTTATAGCATGTAATTTTGATGTTAGAGGTATTTGTTGTAGATAATTAAAGTATTTTAATGAAATTTTCCCCCTTATTTTTTTCAAGGTTTCTAAATACTCTTTACAGAAGAAAGTGAGTGAAATGGTAAGGAAATTACAAAACTTATTTTTTCCCCATCTGGATTAGTACTTAGGGGGATTAGTATTTTTATGAATAAATGTGACATTTATAGTGAAAAAATTAGTAGTTGAAACTGGATATTATTGTCCCCAGTAATATTAAAGGTGATATTTGCAATTTCACATGCTATGTAAATGAATTATTTTATGAATTTTGAGATTACATAGTATTTATATAGTTGAGCATCCCAAATCTGAAAACTCAAAATTTGAAATGCCTCAAAATTGGAAACTTTTTGAGCGACAACATGACGCTCAAAGAAAATGGTCATTGGAGTATTTTGGACTTTAGATTTTTGCATTTGAGATGCTCAGCCGGTAGGTATAATGCAAATATTCTAAAATCCAAAAATATCCCAAATATGAGATGCTTCTGGTCTCAGCATTTCTGATTAGGGATGTTCAACCTGTATATTTAAAATAAATTTTACACAGTTCCCAAATTATTGTTAGGGTTTTATAGTAAAAACAAACAATAAAACTCTAAAATCTCTTATTTTAATGGTATCTTTTCTAGATATTTGTGCAAACATGTAATTATTAATTATAGCCTGAAAAATTGAAATATACAAAGTAGTATTTGGGATATAATATCAGTTTACACTTGGGATATGGTATTGATCCTATATTGTTCAACAAGTATTTATTTGCTGTGCATTCCTCTTTTATAGTCTATTAAAAAACTAATGTTTTTGTTTTTTACAGCATAACATTTTATGGAATATTTACTTTGATATTTTTCCTTTTTATTTCCTTTTGTTTATTTCCTTTATATTTTCTATTTTATTCAGAAGGATTTTTTTTTCTGTGTTTTTGGTTGAGCAAAATTCTCCATATTCTCTTAAACTGTCAACGGGCTTTTTGGGTGGGGTTATGCTATTCAGTCTTCATTCTTTGGAGCAGACTATAAAGCAGGTAAAATTAATTGTTGAGTAAGGCATATATATTATATATATGAGAAGTAAGAAATGAACTGTCACTCCTTCTGACATTACATACAAAAACGTAAAGTATTTTGCTTCTTGAAATTATTTGGTGTGTTAGAAAATAAAAGAACCATAGAGAGATTGCTAAGCTTGATTGAATAAAAGATGTGAAAATTCTGTTGCTGTTCAACTGGAAAGAATAAAAATAATATTGTCAGACTATTTTAAACCATGATTTTAATTAAGAAGCTGAAAAACTAGATTCTGGTTTAGCTTTAAGTACCATGACATTTGTACTGAAAGTCATCTTTAACGCTACAGTGGTTTTACACAAAATATAGTGAAATTGAATAATGTGCCCTTTGACCTGGGAGATAAGGCTACAAGTTATCAAAGGCAACATAAAATGTGTTTTTGTATTCCACTTTAAAATTTCATCAGATACTTAGAATCTTTAAAAAAACATGGTGACATATATATACTTATTTTAGTTTTTAGTAACTTGTAAGCTTTTTGTTATTGTGAATTACAACATTTATACCAACTAAAATGATATTTACGTTATAGTCATAATTTTTTTCTGACAGTTCAAAGCATTGCATCACTTTTAATTTAAAAAATTTTATATATTGCTACATATATTTAATAATTTATATTTATTCTTGCAGAACATTTATATTTTGGATTTAAAAGTTGGAAATATTCCTTTTTCTAAGTGTTCTTACATGTATTAATTTTACATGATTCTTGTTACATTATTATTATATAATTTAGATGACTTGTTCTTTTTTTGAGGGGGAATCTCACTCTGTAGTCAGGCTGCAATGCAGTGGTGGGATCTTGGCTCATTGCAATCTCTGACTCCTAGGTTCAAGCGATTCCCCTGCCTCAGCCTCCCCAGTAGCTGGGACTACAGGTGTGCACTACCATGTCCAACTAATTTTTTGTATTTTAGTAGAGATGGGGTTTCACCATGTTGGCCAGGATGATCTTGATCTCCTGACCTTGTGATCCATCTGCCTCAGCCTCCCAAAGTGCTAGGATTACAGGCCGTGAGCCACCGTGCCTGGCTGACTTGTTCTTTGTTCAAAGTACTGTACTGTATTCAGTAATTCAGTTAATCTTATTTTATTCCAAGCTCTATGGGCAAGACAGGAAATAGGATAGCCACTAGTGTGAAGACAGGACTTTGGGTAGCAATAGATAAAGTTAGAGTCCGAAAATAAGTAACTTGAAAAATAGTATTAAGAAAATTTAGGCCGGGTGCAGTGGCTCACCCTGTAATCCAGCACTTTGGGAGGCCGAGGCAGGCGGATCACAAGGTCAAGAAATCAAGACCATCCTGGCCAACATGGTGAAACCCCGTTTCTACTAAAAGTACAAAAAAATTAGCCGGGCGTGGTGGTGCGTGCCTGTAGTCCCAGCTACTCGAGAGGCTGAGGCAGGAGAATTGCCTAAAACTGGAAAACAGAAGTTGCAGTGAGCCGGAATCATGCCACTGCACTCCAGCCTGGCCATAGAGCAAGACTCTGTCTCAAAAAAGGAAAAAAAAGAAAATTTAAAGTTTATGAGCTCCTATAGGTGAGTCCTTAACTACTAATAAGTTTCTGTCTTCTGTGATTCAGTAAGCTGATTTTTAGAGGTGGTGATATGTTCTGAGGTAAATTAACATAATCACCAATCAAATGATTGTTCCATCCCTAAAAGTATCCCCCCTTTGAAAGAAATCAGTCATTACCAATAAAAGAATGCAATAAAAACGGGTTAGAAACCTTAGAAAATTACATTTACCATCTTTGTAATCTGGTCATTGATACAAATTGTTCCTGTTGTGTTCAGTTTACTATATATGTGACCATGTTGGGTGTTAATTGAATTTATAGGTGTCTGTGTTGTATAACTGAGTAGCTAATACAGTTTAATGAAGAAAGTAAATTTATCAAACCATTGTCACATTGTATTTCTCTTCTGTGTATCATTTTCCTCCAAATAAAATACTTATAAGAAAGATTTTTTCTTTATGAAATTAAACCCATTTCAGTATTGAAGGTTTTGATATGATTAGGAATAACCGCATACTTTCTTTCAGAGTAGAATATTTTTAAACTGAAGACTTATCTGGAAGTAACTGCATGATTATAAATATTATGTAGATCTGTCTACATATATTAGTAGCATGACTTTAGGTTTTAAAGTAATGTATGCCTTATATTTGCAACTAAAATGGTAAGAGTATCTTGAGATACTCTCACCTTTCTTATGGAGTTAGAAAACTTTGCAAATTGAGTTTTATAACTCCATTGATTTGGTTTGGGTTCATACTGAAGAAATTAGAAGATTAGTTGCAAAACTGGAAGTGAATGTGTTAAATTTATTTTTTGATTGTTATCTCTTCCTCTAAAATTTACTCTCAACAAGCTTGATCATTTTAAGGAAAAGTAATTTTATGTCTTTCAAATCAGTTTTCAAATCAGTCTGGGTTTTCAAATCAGTCTCCTTAAGTAAATAGAAAAAGGAGGAAATGTGAAGCTGTGCCTTTAATAGGTAAATATATTTCTAAAATGTTGTGTGTAAATATGTTTACATTATTCCCATTTAAAATGCCTCAAGGCTTTAAAGTAAGCTTTTAGACTATACACATAAATATAATTATGGATGTGCTATTTTTCCTCTAATCTTCACTTTCATAGATTAGTTTTAAATGAGGTGCTACATGTGTTTAGAAAACAGTGAATGCTGACATTATTTTTTTGTAGACTAAGTCTTTGCATTTGATAGTAAAACTGTAAAAGAAAAATAATTGGAGTCAATTCATGTAGATAAAAAGAACCAAACAATATGTACTTAACTATTTCTTAATCATCTCAATAAAATAGCTTTATAATTCATTAAAGTTTTAATAATAGTAAAAATCGTATTCTTTAAAATATTCTTAACATCTCTATGGTGTTATTACCAATTACTTTTTGTTGCTTTTCAAAGAATTTAAACTATTTGTTGATAGTCATGAAATTAGTGGCAAACTTCATCTAATTTTCAAAACTAAATCAGGGTAGTAAACTAGGTTCATATAGGCATATGTGGGCTAATTAGCTATGTGTCCATGTGATTTAGAAGTCTTAATGGTATATATCATGGCCATTGAATAGGCCAATGTGTTTGAAAATCAGAATTATATCATGCAGACAAATGCAATGAAACTGCAATTTTCATTGAATTCAATTTTGACCTCAAAGGATATTGGAATAGAGTATATTAGAAATTACTCTAAGGTATATAAAGTTCTATGCATGAAATCTCTTTGATCTTTGCTACATTTTTAGTTAGCAGAACTGTTAACCTTTGTAGGCACTGACTACCTATTGTATTCATCACTTTTTATCTGAAAGGTTAAAAAAGCTTTTGTGGGATCACGTATTATGTAGTAGACAGTAATCTAATGAAGGCTACATAAATATTGATTTGAATTAAAAAGTAAAACTTTCTTGAATTGAAAAAATGCCATTAACCCAGTTTTCAGTGACATTGTGTTCGGTTTCTACACATCTGTTGAGAGCTAATATAATTCTCTCACTCAGAAATTAAGGAGTATTTTAGAAGAAAGGCGTATGGTTCTTTATTGTTCACCATTGCTGATAATAGTAACTACCCAGGTAGACATAAGCTCTCTAGAACTAAGTACATTTATCAACTTGTTTGCAGTTATAACTGCTGCACAATTAAATCAAATAAGCAGTGAAAGGCCTAATGATGTACATGAGAAACTTTCAACTAATATAATAATTACCAATAATATTATCATGTTTAAAATCATTAAAAAATAGCTTTGAAAAAGTTCAGACTACCATCAGACCTGCCCAGATAATATAGTTAGGTACAGCTTTTAATGTGTGTTCTTCTTGTGTGTATGGGTGTGTGTGTGTGTATTTTGTATGTGTGTGTGACAGAGTCTTGTTCTGTCGCCCAGGCTAGAGCACAGTGGCATGATCGCGGCTTGCAGCAACCTCTGCCTCCTGGATTCGAGTGATTTTCCTGCTTCAGCCTCCCCAGTAGCTGGAATTACAAGCATGCACTACCACATTTGGTTAATTTTTGTATTTTTAGCAGAGATGGGGTTCAACTATGTTGGCCAGGTTGGTCACAAACTCTTAACCTTGTGATCTGCCTACCTTGGCCTCCCAAAGTGCTGGGGTTACAGGTGTGAGCCACTGTGCCCAGCCCTTCATGAATATTTTTAAAAGGCCATGCTTATTCTAAATAAAAGTTAATTTAAACTATTGATCCTTTTATCAGTTAAGGAATAATAAAGCATTTTATTGTGATTTTTATATAATGGGCTCTGTTTTTTAGTGCTTTATGTATATTCATTTTATCCTTACAGCAACCCTATGAGTGAAATACTATTATAAATGTCATTCTAAAAATATGGTAGTTAATTTACCTAAGGTCATACTAAGTTGCAGAAACAAGATTTAAACATAGGCAGACTAGCTTTTTTCTTCCTTCCTTCTTCCCTTCCCTTCCACTTCCCCTCTCTAATGGAGTCTCACTCTATTGCCCAGGCAGGAGTGCTGTGACGTAGTATCGGCTCACTGCAACCTCCACCTCCCGAGTTCAAGCAATTCTCCTGCCTCAGCCTCCCAATTAACTGAGATTACAGGTGCCTGCCACCACACCTGGCTAATTTTTGTGTTCTTAATAGAGTCGGGGTTTCACCATGTTGGCCAGACTGATCTCAAACTCCTGACCTCAAGTGATCCACCCACCTTGGCCTCCGAAAGTGTTGGGATTACAGGCGTGAGCCACTGCTCCAGGCCTATACTTTGTTTTGTTTTGTTGTTTGTTTTTTGAGATGACAGAGTCTCACGTTGACTTTTTTTTTCTTGTTGTTTGTTTTTTGAGGCGACAGAGTCTCGCTTTGTCACCTGGGCTGGAGTGCAGTGGCACCATCTCAGTTCACTGTGACTTCCACCTCCCAGGTTCAAGCAATTCTCCTGCTTCAGCCTTCTGAGTAGCTGGGATTATAGGTGCACGCTACCACACCTAGCAAATTTTTCTGTTTTTAGTAGAGATGGGGTTACATCATGTTGGTCAGGCTGGTCACGAACTCCTGACTTAATGATTCACCTGCCTTGGCCTCCCAAAGTGCTTGGATTACAGGCGTGGGCCACTGCACCAAGCCTGTACTTTGGTTTTAAGTAATAAGAAATGGCTTTGGTTAACTTATGTAAAAGAAAATTTAGGAGAGGCATTGACAATGAATCAGAGAATAAAGAATTATTTGAAAATGAACAAGGACCCAGAGTAATTCCAGTGTTAGTGAGGCAGGATGTAGGTACCCACAACAGAGGTCTTACCAGTTTAGATAGGATCGCTACTGAACTTTAGTTTTATGTAGTCTTCTTGCCCAAGATTCAAATTCCAAGAAGGTAGAAACCAATTGGTTTGTTTTGAATAACACACCCTTCTCTTAATTAGGGAAGAATAGGATCCCCGAATTTTAGTCCTGTTGTAATGTTTATTCCATGTTGTAATGAAGTTTAGTCCGTGTTGTAATGAAGAACAAATATTTCAACAAAGTAAATTGTGGTGCTATTAGGTAAGGGAAATGGATACTGGTTAGGCAAAATCAAATTTTTGATTTGTCTATTAGAACTCTATAAGACAACAACAGTTCATTCAGAAGACAATTATTGAGTGCCAGTTAATGGCCTATACTGTTCTTTGTTTAGAACTGCTCATCACAGAAGGTGAAGCAGTTGTGGGAAAAAATGTGAATGAAAGTTGTGAAACCAATTAATGATCCTGCTAATGTCAAGTGAAGATAAAAACTTTAAACAAGTGTTATTGATTCTATTAGCATAATATTTATTTTTAAGAGTTAAAAGTCATATTCCTAAGTATGGTAAGACTAGTTCCTTTAGCTGAAAGCAGTGGAGGCTCATATAATATTATATAAGTAGAGTCTTAATTTTTAGCAACTATGTCTCCAATTTAAGTAGACTATCTACTATCTTACTATCCTATGTTGCCTTCTTGTCACTGAGAGATATTATCCTTGCCATTTCATTTTTCTTTCTTTTTTAGAGATGGGGTCTTGCTTTGTTACCTGGGCTGGAGTTCAGTGGGCCAACATAGCTCACTGCAGCCTCCAACTCCTGGCCTTAAGCAATCATCCCACCGGAACCTCCCAAGTAGCCAGGACTACAGGCATATGCTACCATGCCAAGCTAACTTTTTTATTTTTGTAGAGATGGGGTCTTGCTATGTTGCCTAGGCTGGTCTCAAACTCCTGGCCTCAAGCATTCTTCCTGCCTCATCATTTAATTTCTTAATGCAGTGAGAGGTGCTATATTAATTAAAATCAATCTCAGAAAAATTACTTGAATTTTTATAATGCACATTGAAATTATGCTAGCAAATTGAAAGGGCAAAGAATCAAAACAATGATCTAGCTAGGTCCTGATTATTCAAACAATTGAAAGAAAAAATATTTTCTAAAGTACCAAAAGTATTTTTTTTTAAATTGCATTTTAGGTTTTGGGGTACATGTGCAGAACATGCAAGATAGTTGCATAGGTACACACATGGCAGTGTGTTTTGCTGCCTTCCTCCCCTTCACCCACATTGGGCATTTCTCCCCAGGCTATCCCTCCCAAGCTCCCCCCCACCGCTGTCCCTCCCCTGTTCCCCCCAATAGACCCCAGTGTGTAGTACTCCCTTCCCTGTGTCCATGTGTTCTCATTTTTCATCACCCGCCTATGAGTGAGAATATGCGGTATTTTATTTTCTGTTCTTGTGTCAGTTTGCTGAGAATGATGTTCTCCAGATTCATCCATGTCCCTACAAAGGACACGAATTCATAATTTTTGATTGCTGCATAATGTTCCATGTTGTATATGTGCCACATTTTCTCAGTCCAATTTTCTCCTCGATTTTCTTAGTGTTAGGCTGGTTAACATTTTTTATAAAAAGATTTTGAAAAATTGCAAACAAGGTAAACAACCTGAAGTGACTATTTTACTACAGGAAAAATATGTTCTCTTTAGTTTTACATAGATTTAGAAATATCTCCTAATTAATATTTCCTCTTTACAGTTTACTCAGAGAGTACTATTAAATGATGTTCATTTATCGCATATTAATAACAGTTGTTTACTATAATATATTTTTACATATTTTTACATATTTGGGTTGTGTGTGTGTTATATGTGTAATATATGTGTTATATGTGTAACATTTTAAATTACTCTTCAAAATAGGAACAAAAGGTCCAGTTACATCTTCTGGCTAAAGAAGACCATCATAAGCAACTGAGTGAAATTGAGAAATACTATGCCACAATAACAGGTCAATTTGGTTTGGTAAAAGAGAATCATGAAAAGTTAGAACAAAACGGTATGTGCTATCTTATTTAAATATACATTTTCAGTAGAGAATGTTTGAATTAACCTATTTCCTATGGATACATTGAATTTCTATAATAATACTCAGTAGTAAATGGCAGTTAATGACTGCTATCTGAATTAAATAACATATATTGCATTGTTACTGTTTTCCCTGTTTATCTTAATGATACTTTCTTTAAAATATACATTGAACATAATGCTTTCTTAAGTGTCTTTCATTTTGCAGTACGGGAAGCAATACAATCAAACAAAAGACTTTCAGCTTTAAATAAAAAACAAGAAGCTGAAATATGCAGTTTAAAGAAGGTATGACTGATAGAGTTTCACACTACTAAGTAAAAATTATAATCTAAAATAATCGTATGGGTTATTACTAGAGGGCAATTGCATAGATTTTTGGGTAGAAGAATAAATAAAATGTTTTCAATACAAATACATTAATTTTGAGTTAAGAGTCCAGTAAAGGTAATTAGTGAATTTGTTGCAATCCATTCAAAATATTATTTCTTTGACTTGTGACCAGTAGCATGCATTTTTATGGTGACAAGACTAGCTTATAAGGGTTAATTGTATGTCATCCTTATTAGCACCATTCATTCAGTATTTATTGAGTGACTTTTATATACTGGGTGCTATGTGGCACTAAGGATATAGCTATGAAGAAAATAAAACATGTTTCTACTTTTATGCAGTTTAGAGTCTAGTGGTGGAGTTAGACATAAAACAAATACTTACGCAGACTAAATAATGTAAAACTGTTATAAATGAGCTGAAGAAAAAGTAAAAGGTGTGATGACATCACAGGTGACTTCATTAGATTGGGGGTAAAAGGGTGGAGGAGGGAAGGGAGTAATGTTTCAGGCAAGCAGAATAGCATGTGCAGAAGCCTTGAGACAGAAAAGAGTTTGGTATATTTGAGGAACTAAAAAAGTCTGATATGGCTGGAGCATAATGAATGAAGGTGTGAACTGAACATTTATTGTTGCTTACTGAGCATCAGAATCCCCTTGCCTTCCTCCTAACCTTATCTAGATTTTCATTTTGATGTCTTCAGCTTTAGAGCTGAGCACTAAATTGGTAGAAGATCACTAACATGTTTCTTTCCTCTGGCCGTAGTCATTGGTTGAGAAATGGATAAATGACTTTAGCTAGCTTCTGGTTATAAACCAGGAAGAGCATAATGTCTACTGTGGCTGGCAGTCAGCATACAACCATGAGAAAAGCCAAAAATTAGGAACCTGACAGTGTGGATGCCAGACTGGCATGACATAAAGAAACCTGTTCTTTGATGACATTATTGAGTAACTGGACCAACCAACCCTGCGTCTTGTCCTACCTCTAGACATTTAAATTATGTGAGTCAGTAAGTCCCCATTATTTAAGTCAGGTTGGTTAGGGCCAATTCAGTTTTCCATGATTTGCATCTAAAAATATTCCAAATGACACAGAGAGTTGGTATGAGAAGAAGAAGTAGGTAAGGCTTTGTTCTTTTTATAGAGAATGACATCTGTTCTCCTTCCCCACTCCCTTCCAGACCCTCTCTCAATACCACTTTGAGTCATTTTAGGACCACCTCCCGACTTCTGAGAGAATTAAGTACCTATGCTTACTGGCACTCCATAAGTATTTTAAAACGATATTTACTGAGTACCATTTAAAATGCACTTAATTTGTAGTTCTTTAATATATTGGTATGTAAAAAAACTTCTGTTTGTCCCTCTAGATCTATATTTACCTTTTGAGGGCATATGTATACGGGTTACATCAATGGGCTACCATATCTTCTGACTGCCTGTTGAACTGGGCCAGTGGAGAGCCTAGGCAGGAGATGGGAGGAAGGAAAGAGTGAATCAGGGTATTTATTCCCCCTGTTCCTTCCCTCTGAGGTAACTTCAGGCGGGCCATGTCCCTCAACAGATCACTTCTTCTCTCAAATTGGCCTTATCTACATGATACTCTCTTTTATTGGGGTTCCAGTAATCTCTCTTCTTGTCCTTCTTGGTCTAGAGGTGGTGGCACCTACAGTGTGGCTAGTCAATGGAACTTGCGCCATCCCTTGTGGTTCCTTTATATCCTGCCTGCACCTTTGCAAATAAACCCATCTTCAGGTTGTCCTAACTTATTGTATGCCATCTGTTTCTGCTGGGATTCTGACATATACTTGTTGAGGGTATAACATTAGCGAGACCAAAGTTATGAATTCTGTTTTGTATAGGCTAGTTGATTCAGTAAAGAGAAAGTTGTTTTACCGTCAAAGACTGCACTCTAAACCTCACCTGTGTTTTTTAGTAGTATATTTTGGACTCAAGGGATAAATGAATAGGAATGTTATTATTCAGATACACCATTAATTTTGAGGAAAAAATAATTTCTACTAATCTGGGTCAATGTTGTCATCTTGACTCTAAAAGGATCCTATTTTTAAAAGGAAAAAAATACAAAACCTCTAAGCATTTATACCTTTATATATACATAGACTTTCACTGATTTTTATTTTAATTAATAAACTATTTTTAGAGCAGTTTTAGGTTCACAGCAAAACTGAGTGGAAAGTGCAGAGTTGCTGTATACTCCCTGTCCTCACACATGCACAACTTAATTTGTAGTTATTTAATATATTGATATACAAAAATATATGGGTATCCTTCATAATCATATCCTCACTAGCATTTGGTGTTGTCAGTGTTTTGGACGTTGGTCATTCTGATGGGTGTGTAGTGGTAACTTGTTTTGACTTGTAATTCCTGAATGACATATGATGTTGAACATATTTTCATACACTTACTTGTCATCAGTGTATATTTTTTGTTAAAGTGTCTCTTCAGGCCTTGGGCCCATTTTTTAATTGGGTTACCTGTTTTCTTATTGTTGAGTTTTCAGAGTTCTTTGTATATTTTGGATAGCAGTACCTTCTAAATGCTAAGCCAGAGTTCAAAGACTGTTAATATTTATAATACTATTGACTGTGATATGTATATCTTCACTGTTATAACTGCCAATAAATTGGTCATATATTCCTTGAACTTTATTCTTATACTTGAGCGATCAGAAGGTAAAAGCATAGGTGGATTTCAGTACAGAACATTAGAATGGATGGTGATAATCATGTTTCTGACCCTTAAAAGTCTTATGTCTATTTAGCAAACTACTCAAGAGTACAATTAATATGTAGAAAACATTTCTTTTTAGTTATATCCTTGAAAATTAGAGATGGCTCTTTTTTAATAAAAAGAGAAAAAGCTATAATTTTAAAAATCTGTTTGGAATCCCAAGTCAGAATTAATAAAAGGGTCATTCATTTCTATCAATAGAAACTTCACATATAAATAACTAAATATTAAATCAGTAGTTGTGAATAAACACCTTTTTATGTCTCTGTGGTTCATTTATGTTTTAATATTTTTAACAATGACTTTAGTAATTAACAATTTGGTGATTAAAATATTCATATGCTTTTATACAGTTATTTCTGCATTCTTATGAAAATATTATGCCTCATAAATTTTTGTACTGATTTTTTTTGCATTAAATGAAAACAGATGCTTCATTGTAACATAATAGACTATTAGATTTCTTTTTCTTTTTCTTTGTTTTTTAAGATGGAGTCTCACTCTGTCTCCCAGGCTGGAGTGCAATGGTGCAATCTTGGCTCACTGCAACCTCCACCTCCTGGGTTCAAGCCATTCTCCTGCCTCACCCACCCAAGTATCTGGGACTACAGGCATGTACCACCATGCCTAGTTAGTTTTTGTATTTTTAGTAGAGATGGGGTTTCACCATGTTGGCCAGGCTGGTCTCGAACTCGTGATCTCAAGTGATCCACCTGCCTCAGCCTCCCAAAGTGCTGGGATTACAGGTGTAAGCCATCATGTTGGCCCTGACTTTTATGTTTCTAATGCACAGTTTAAGACTCTGACCTATAGATGGTGATGAGGCTCATGTAGATTCATGGAGAGATATCCTTAGCGGATTTATGTAAGAAGGTGAGGAATGTCTATGCGTGAGAAGAACGGTGTTTTTCATAAGAACACTTGCCTCTTTCTCTCAAGTCTTGGGGACTAGGCTAGGGCTACCTAAATGTACTAACATGTCGTGTAGTGGTGATCTCTGTCACTCTAGAAAACATTAGTGTCAGTGTTCATGCTGCAAAGTTGTTCTTGGAAGACAGACTGTCATAGAAGGGTAAAGTGAGAAAATTTAATTATATTTGAGACTTCAAAGTTCATGTAACTGAAAGGGTGAGAATTTAAAAGTATATATTCAGAGCCATTTTTTAAATATTGCATTCTAAGTACACTCATTTTATATTTTGTATGTCTTATGTAGCTTTGATTTTTAACTTGGGAAAAGATTTTTTTTTTAACTTTTTCAGAAGAGAATCAAATTTTGTAACATTGGCTATATCACTCATTTAAAACTTCTAATCATTAATTCTCCCAAAGATAATTTCAATTTTTCTTAAACTGTTCTATGATTTTGTCCAGAACAGTCGTTATTGGTTTGTGATAAGATGGAATTCCTTTTTTTTTTTTTGTGGAGCAAAGTTAAACAGACCAAACTTAGTGGTTAGATAAAAACTAGGTATTACCATTCTGAATGCTGAGTTCACCGTTATGGCAATCATGAAGAATTCCTGATACTATCTATGAGCAGCATTCATAACCTCTGCTATTTGTCTGAGTAAATGTCAGAGCACTCAAGGAGATAGTGATATTAAACAGACTACCCCATACCAGAAAGGGAGGGGTGAAGGGAAAAAGAGCGCAATATTTATGACTCCAGGAACTGTAAGTTGTAATTTAATGAGATCAAAGCATGTGCTGTTTATTTGCTTCACTAATAGCTTTGAATAAAACGGTTAGAAAACAGACAATGTACTAAAAGTTCAGGATATTTAAAGGCTTATAAAGTCTATAAAATCAAAAGCATATTTTTCAGGGGAAGATCTTTTCATGAGGTCTCTGATTTTAACTTATTATGCTCTTGAAATTAAATAACTAATATATAAGAGAAAAAGAAAGATGTAAGAAGTTACTAGTTTTTACTTTTGTCAGTCATGTGCTGGTTTTCTATACCCTTCTCCTCACCACCTCCCTATTGTTTAATAGCATTAATTGTAATAGGAATGGATGCATTTTGGAGTATCTCCTGTAAGACTTAACTGATTATGACAGCTCAACATTTTCAACTGTTGAAAAATGTAGAAAAACATAGATGTTTTTTGCATTTTGTAATCTTGATGAGGAAGGAACTTTTAGAAAATCAATCTTTATGTAGATAATTATAAACCATTTTATGCAGATAAA